GCATCTTCAATCTCATCGCCTGCGCTTTGCCGAGACCTCACTGCGATGCGAATGACGCCAAAATTTCGAACCATGACCAAGCATGCGGAGGAAGATCCTTCACCCAGTTCACCCTCACAGCCGCTGCCCAGTAGCTTATAGTCAGCTCCGGCCCGAAAGGTGATATGGTCATTGAAAGGCGAGGGAAGTCGATCAGAGTCTAGTAAGAGTTGGGAGGTGGGCGAGTCACTATATGAAATCAATGAGAGCAATAACACCGACTGGCCAATCACGATGAAGGCTGTCTGGGTCACTGTGGCTACATGTAACTTGATGTTGGGCTGCAGGTCGTAAGACAACGTCGGAGCGAAGTTCAAGTCTATGGAACTGGCAGCCAAGACATGAACTTCTCCTGAAAGCAAGAGCTGCACCACAGATATGCATCGACGACCTGTCTCCCGGGAAGGCGCCACAACCAGGCAAAGCCGCCATGACTCTGCTCCACTATCCTGTAAACCTTGCTCATTATCTCCGCAGGTCATAAGCGCAAAATCTATGATCTTCAGATCAGTATCACCGGCCGCTTCTGTGTGCTTTCGACCCAAACAGCGGCACAGATCCTGTCTGATATCAAACTGTTTCTTCATTATGCTCCCGTTACTCCAATGAGTGTCCCAGATCTCAAACACTCCCGTCGTCGTGCCAACAATGATGTCCCGCTGCCCTCGTTGATGCGAACGGGCAGCCTTTACTGTAGCGAGATCCTTCCTCCAGCAACCACCACTGAAGACACTTTTTATGCCATTCAGTAGCCCACTACTGCTGCTTGAATTCCGAAGAAAATTGGCCATCACGGTTGGCCTCCCTTGAGAATCCCTGAAGGTAATGTGAGCGACCCTCCCCGATGAAAACGTGACAATTACACCGGAGGGTTCGCAGTTTATCACATCAGTAACATATTCACCTGGGAGCAAGCCAGGTACGTGACCTTGAAGCCCAGTTTGTCTTTGTCTTGGTAGCCCAAGGGATCCAGCATGCGATATGGTCTCCCAGTAGATAATTCTTCCTGTATACGGCATGACTACCATTAAGCCTGGTATTTCGCCATTTGCGGAGGAGAGGAAAACCCCAAGGGGGGCTGCACCATGAGATTCTCGGCAAGATTCAGGAATTGTAAGTGTAAACACGTCCACTGGGGACGACGCTGATGCAGAGGGCGAATATGGCCAAATAATAGCGTGCGATACCGTCAAGGCCAATGCGTAACCATTCGCTGTCCCGAAAATACCTCGAAAATCTACAAAGACGAATTAATACACTGGCTTAGACGGGAATGTCCATAACTTGCCTGAAGGTAGGCCACGAATCTGGTCCGGAAAAGCAGGGAGTTGAGAGACAGTGTAGAAATCAGTCTTGGACTTTAAAGAACTTTAGCGTCAATGAAGAACTAGACAACACCTGGCGAGGACGACAAGGGAACGCCAGAATCTTGTTGTGTTAGACACATGCCAGACTTACAAGCACAACAGCTGCGTTGACCTCGTTTGCTGGCCGCTTCAGTTCATTTAATGGTCTCACTGGTAGAGATCTTTGCACCCCAGGTTTCTTCGCAACCGTTGGGTCGGACGCATCTCCGGTGTCAAGTCCTGGATCTTTCGGTAATCTTTTCTTAAAGTCTGACTGAGCCTCCGAGTAACGCCCAGGACTCTCACTCCGCAGCGCAGAACGTTGTCTTTTAGCATCCGGTTGCTTCACAGACTCATCGGAGCTAGTGCGCTGGCGTCTTCGTGGGTTGCGCAACGATGCCACGGAGGAGAGTCCAGCTTTTGGTACGAACATAGTTGCAGGGAGGTTGTCGATGATGTATCACGACAGTATTATAATTTTTTGTTGCTGAATCTGGCACACGCATCTAGGTGACGATGATGAAGCAGTAAAGTCGACCATGAGAAGTAGGGCTGAGAGACGGCAGGGCTGGTGCAACAAGGCCGACCGCTCCTCATATCATATCAAACATAAGCAAAAACAAATTATATGTACTGAGTACACTGGCCGTACCATGCTAAGGGAGGTACGAGAAGGCGGTCAGGTGCCCTGCGAGCTCCACATTGGATGCCAAACATATCAAACACGAATACACATTGTTGAGAAGGGCTACCGTAACTCAGTACTCCGTAAAAAGGACCGAACATCATGGATATCTTCTATGGAACAGTTACTGTGTGGCATGGTATGTAGATAATAGGTGTGTTAAATAAGAAGCTTACAAAGGCTGTAGAGTCATCAGCCATATCTTTGTTCTACAAGGGAGTAGTACTCATTACGAGTTCAGTATCACAATGAGGCAAGAAGCACTTTAATATACATTGATAGTAGTTAAGAGTCCACTGTTTACTGCATCTGTTCCTTTTGAACATTGGTATTACAGCGTACTAGGTACATTACCTTAGTTTCATAATAGGTACCTACCTTAGATAATAATCAGTGGATGTTCATCAACATAAGTAGTAAATTTACAAGCCTATAGCAGAGGTAATATTGCTAGCACAAACAGAGGTACCATATTGTTGTGGTGCTTTTGCTTGTGATCACATGATTTTAGCTTGACTGAAGCCATAGATAGAGAACCTCTACTCCGTACTGGCTCTTCATCAAGAAAGTATCTCGCCCATCGGACGCTACTGTGTCATAATACATCTCTAATAGACTCCGCTCATAATGCCCACATATTATATCCAATATGTTCGTTCCGAGCCTAAATGATTACTATGCTTTTATAATCATTAAATCATGTTGCTATTCCTCAGTCTAAGATACACCACTGTCACCCGCTATGTCTGTGGTCGCTCAATCTCAAGGGTGAGCCCCCATCGCCAAAGTATCGCTCCGCACTCTACCACAACAAGATTGCATACAGCTCTATTCTTTCCCGGTTTGTCATACCACCTAGTCCCAAAAACCCCTATTCCTGATGCTGATATAGGTACAGGTCATGGCGTACAACGTGTGGGAATGGCTAACTCCTGGGTTGACAATTTTCCTAGCACAGCCAGACCATTCTTAGAAGAGATGGACGATAATTTAGGATTCAACCTGTCTCGAACTATAGCAAATGGCCCAAATTGCGAGTTAAACAAGACTGAGAATTCCCAACCTGCTATCATGGCGACGTCCATATTAATCCTTCGCATATTGGAGAAGGAATTCGGTTTCGACACGAAATCCCGTGTGAATGTAACACTTGGACATAGCTTGGGCGAGTTCTCTGCTCTGGTCGCTGGTGGCTATATTAAGTTCAGAGACGCTCTAAGATTGGTTCGCCGTCGGGCGGAGATCATGGCTGAATGCACCCGTCAAGCCTCTAAACAATCCGGAGAAGACTATGGCATGGTAGCTCTGATTTGTGAGCCGGATCATCTCGAATCTTTACTTTCTGCCATACATGAATTCACAGGCCATCCTTCCCCCGACTTAAAGGATGATTCGAGCCACGGATCACCCACAATTCAACAAGTTATGATTGCCAACATCAACTCCAAAAACCAAATAGTACTAAGTGGGAGCATTTCAAGGATTACAACTCTTCTCATCCAGCTTCGCCAATTTGGTGGCCACGATCCACGTGCTGTGAGGTTGAAGAGCGAAAGCCCGTTCCACAATCCCATCATGGCGCCAGCTGCAGAGTATATGAGACATGAACTAGAATGCGTCGACATTGAGTTTCCCTCACAGCTGCCGTGTATATCAAACGTCTCTGGTCTCCCCTTCGAATCAAGGGACGATTTGAAAAGCCTTTTGTCTAGACAATGCGTCGAAACCGTTAAATGGTGGGACAGTATTCGTTACCTTGACCAAGATCGAGGAGTCAGAAGATGGATTGGCATTGGACCAGGCAAGGTCGGCAGAAATCTGGTCGGTAAGGAAGTTGGTAAAATCAACACCAAAGGAGGTGGCGTTTGGGCTCTTAGTGATCCCCGAGAGCTGGAGAATGTTTTGATGGCGCTGCAAAACACTGAAATCGACGTCTTAACTCAATGAATCTGTAATCCCCCATTATATACGTACTTCTCATTTGTACCGACACAATCGAGCCCTGCCCATTACGGACAAATTCATTGATAAATTGCCGGACTTTATACGCAAAATTTTCATCCAAAATGTAGCCCGGTGCTTTTGATGGCCTTAATTCCACACTTTTTCCGGGCAATCACAGCGCCATATGCTCTTGAGTAGGCTGTGATCTGAAAAAAAAAATAATCTGCAGCTTGAGAGACAAATAACCTGTTCAAGCCACTCTGACGTCTAGGAATCATCAGGTGCAAGTTTCTGTGGCAATTTTCTTGGCTGGTCTGAATCACACTGAAGGAGTTCCTTGCTAGAAACAACCAGACTACCTCCTGTAAACTTATCTTGCAATTACAACTGCGTTTCTCATTGCGCTGCCAAAACAAAATTCACTTCCGTACTCAGTACAATCATGAGCTACGCTCAGCGAGGGTACCTTAAGTAACCATGGATGATAGGCGTGGGCTTCGGCAATTGGTGAAGCGTCAGCTCGGATTTCTTATGCTGCTCATTCTTCAATGCTATCTTGCATGAAGATAGGTATGAGCTTCACTTCCGCAATCCTTCAGACAAGTTGACCAGGTCTAAAAGTTGCCTCAGGGTGAAGTTCGCTCAGAATTTCGTTCATGATTGTATGAGTTCTAGCCAATCATGCATAGCAACGTGCATCAGCCTCACAATCTACGCCTAGCGGCTTTGCGAAAGATTTAGGAGCTGAGAAAGCTCAGAATCCAGTCATTCCCGGAGCCCAGGTATCGCCGATACGCTTGACTGCCGCAATGAACCTTCGGTCGACGATTTGCGATGCATTCGAACTTGATGCTGCGGTCTTCGAAGTAGGCGTATAATCGTCCGGAAAGTAAAACGGGTTTTGTAGCAGTTGAACATATGCAGTTTGCAGCGCTCGGAAAGCCTATCATTCCACATTAGCGCTTCCATGGAACTTGCAGGCTGTCTCAAGTGTGTTGCAAAGTAAGATGGTAGAAACGTGCCGGCTTCAAGTCCGATTCCCTCAATGTCGCCATCGCACCGATGCCCAAACTTTCAGCCCCAACACCTGTTGGTTGCCCTATTGTATCCACCATGATCAAGAACTTCACCCCAGTGGTTGTTAACCAGCCATACGCGGCTAATCGCTCATCGATCGCATGCAAGAGGCCCAGATCCTGACCGACTGGAGTCTTCTTCTGCCGTATCTCAAAGATATCAAGGCATGCATTCAAAGAGAACGAGAAATTTACACTGGAGTCTTGGTACGGTGGGAACATTGAGATATGGAGAGGATTGTCCTTTGAGAAAATTAGTAGAAGCATCAAATTGCAACGGATCTTCTCACAGCCTTTCCAATCACGCATATGCAGGCAATCTTGGGGCCTGACATCACTCTGCGTGTGAGAGGCTCTTTCAGCTCCTTGGGTCAAAGATCGCTGGAAGTAATACAAGGAAAATGATTAGGCAGGAGAGTAGACTGACTGAGTAGCCAGGGAATTGCAGAGCACTGTTCCCATCAGTTCAGGAAGGAACCGCTTGACTTGCCATTTTGATGATGGTGTGGCGCTGATAAGCCCAGGTAACAGGCGCGCAACAACTTCCACTTCACTGAAACACAGCATCTACAATAAAGTATCTTCTCACATTCGTGGACTGAAACTCTGGATTAATGATCCAATAGATTGTAGACAGGAATCAATGCAATCTAGATGCACTTAAGTAATGGTCAAATCCAGTAACCTTTCTACAGTAAAAAAATTAATTCCCATTTGTGACAAGCCCCATCAGGATACATCAGTTAAGTATTGACGAACGAAATGTGATGTTTGAAACAAATGTCATATTGTAGGGGTTTCTGCGACTACACAAATTATCTGACTGGCTATATACTCGATATTATTACCATCTGGGGTTCAAAACTTCGAAGACATGTAGGTTGAGTTCAGAAACGCATTATCTTGCAATTACTAAGCTGGATCGGCCATAGGCTCGGTCATCTTCGGCGCAACGGCGTTACCTTCCTAGTTTGGAGCCGGAACGGAACACTCGCTACTCATACCTCAACCATTTCATCGCCACTGGACTTGCAGGGCCTTTGGAGCAACAGAGGTTTTGTTCCCCTCTAGTCACCAACTACTTCTTTATCCGATTAACAGGCGCCTCAGACAGGGCAGAAGTATTATTCCAGTATGCTCTCCACGTCTAGGCGCGCCGTTCTGGGCGCTCTCCGCGGTACGTCTATTTTTCTGTCTCCTGGCATTCGTCGGCTCATTTGATATAGTGCGATCAGTAACCGTTCCATGCCTCTCCAGAGGTCAACAGCTTGCATTGCTGTCCACCTCTCCAGTCAACTCAGCGACAGCACTCGAGCGTCAGGCGCAGTCCGGTCAGCCTTTGACTGCATCTGGAAAGGTGCGAAAGGAGGTGCCCTTGCCGAGCCAGGAAAAGAAAGAGGGCGCAATGCAATATGTCCTGTTCGTGCCCTGCATCTTTACGTACATGCACAGCGAAAGTCCGATTGTACTAACATTGTCGTTTGTAGTACCACACTTGACCAAGTCGCCAACTGGGCCCGCCAGAGCTCCTTGTGGCCAATGACCTTCGGTCTCGCGTGTTGTGCTGTCGAGATGATGCATTTGTCGACACCTAGATACGACCAAGATCGCCTAGGAATTATTTTTAGAGCTTCACCTCGCCAGTCGGATGTGATGATCGTGGCTGGTACGTTKACCAACAAAATGGCACCAGCCCTTCGACAAGTTTACGATCAGATGCCTGATCCGCGCTGGGTCATCAGCATGGGAAGTTGTGCCAATGGTGGCGGCTACTATCATTACAGCTACTCGGTCGTACGAGGATGTGATAGGATTGTTCCTGTCGATGTCTATGTCCCTGGATGTTCGTCGAATCTCCCTCTTGACCCGTACTTTGAGATTATCCTGATGTGAGAGCTATGCTGACGGGATATAGGCCCACCCACATCCGAGGCATTGATGTATGGAATATTCCAGCTTCAGAAGAAGATGAGACATACAAGAATAACACGCATGTGGTACCGCCGTTAATATTGTACTCGAGGAATGGTGGATATCATTAAACCTTGAAAATAGTGACTATGGCATTGTATACTTACGTACCTAGGAGACATACTAGTGCATGCAACGAGCCAAAGTGTCCTTTCGACTGATCTGTCTTCGGTGTTCGGATTTTGCTCAATTTAACAGATAATACGGGCTTATCATTTGCTATCTCTCTTTCTGACAAACGTGCTACCAACCACTGAATGTAAATGGTTCAAGCGGTCTGGTGCCCTAGCTTTCAGGTAGCTGTTCGTCTTTTTTGTGAGGCTGAGATCGCTTCTCGAGGCAACCGCTTAGCCGTTGACCATGACACCGCCATTAGGGTGCAGGCTTTGCCCCGAAATGTAGCTACTGTCATGACTTGCAAGGAAAACAAAGCATGTTGCAACCTCGCTAGGCTGGCCCGGGCGACCCATGGGCACGGAGCTGAATTGTTCCATTGCAGAGGTATCCATGGTGGATGGGATCAACGGAGTCCAAACTAGAAGCCATCTTAGAGACAACCGTCGCAATTATCCGGCATCGAAACTTACTTGGACCAGGGCACACACAGTTGACTCGAATTCCTTTCCCAATTTGTTGGTTGGACAATCCTCGAGTGAACGCGACGATTGCGCCCTTCGTAGATGTATAGTCAAGGAGGTCACCTCGGCCAATATAATGGTTAACGGATGCACAGTTGATAATCGTCGAGCCAGATCGCATATGCGGTAGACTGTATTTCGACAGATAAAAGTAAGGATGGATGTTTGTGTCAAAGGTGCGATGCCATTGGTCCCTAATGAGACGGTCAATTATGCGAGATATCATGTCTGTTCTCGTGTAGTTTTTTCCTTTTCTTCTTCTCTTTTCTTGGGAAGGGAGGAGCGCCCTCAAAAGACTATGTCGGGGAATCAGAGCATACTCATCTAGCTCGCTGATGTCTTGGACCATGTTCTGGAACGCAGCGTTGTTCACCAGAATGTCAATTCCTCCCAAACACTGAAGGGCGACCTCAACCACTTTCTGGCAGTTCTCCCTTTTCCGGAGATCTACTGCCAAGCAGTGACATTCTTTTCCAGCTTCCTGCACTCTTCTCCTTGTTTCTTGAGCATCTCTCTCTTCCTCGGGCAAGTATACGATTAGGCTAGATGCCCCTTCCATTGCAAACAGTATGGCAACAGCGCGACCGATCCCAGAGTCGCCGCCCGTAATTATAGCTCTCTTTCCGGCGAGTTTCCCAGCTGCCTTATACGTCTGGTATCCATAGTCGTCGGTCGGTATGCGGGTCGACGCAGGCTTGGGATCCTCCAGTTCCGCCTGTAACCCAGGCTTTTTCTGATGCTGGATTGGGATCCGGTGACCTGAAGTACTGATGAGCATCATCAAAATTCGATCCAAAGATGCGGACTCACCAGGCTGAAATTGTGATTCAGCACCGCTTGCTGGCTTTTCCGTGTATTCTTGCATGGTGGTGATCCAGTAGCAATTTTTGACGATCTCAAATTGACAACTCGCGTATATTAAGTAAAATGTAGCTTTCTGAGCAAGTTAATGCGCGAGAAAAGAATTTAGAAAGATAAAGTCAAGTTATAGTATCGCAAATCCGGCGCACACGGTCATGTCTGCCGCAAGATCACAGCGTCAAGATGACGTTTTCAAGCAACACAAGAACCTAGGAATTGAGAGCCACGAAACATCTTACAGATATAGCCACGCACGTACAAAACCCACATCGCAATCATTACTTCGAGCTGGCCTAGGTGGTGACAATAGAAGTTCCTGTGCAAATGAGCCTCGACAGTCTACTTGACGTGACGTTATCAAGCAACGAAGGGCTGGCATATGTGATGATCTAGACCGTCATGAGCACCTTACTTGAGGAGAAATGTAGTTGATAACCCTTCAGAAAGTTCACACAGAAAGTTCTCGGAGAGCCGGACAATCGTCAGTGAGACATCAGGTCCATAGAATGTGATAAGATCTGCTTATCGCTTGACTTCATCAGAGTTCGCGATCAGAAATATTGTGCTGGACTCGCTCAGAGAGCAGTGGAACTTTGAGGCGCCAGGGTATCCGGATTGTGGAAAACACCTGTTATCCTGCCATGAACAAATTCTTGAGGAAAGGCAACATTTGCACACTGAGGCTGCACTGGTTGTTCTGTAGTGGTGCTTTACCTTCTAGATGGCGAAGTGAATAAGATTTCAATATTAGTCTTTTAATTACTTTTACCCTTGTCGAAAGGAGAATAGATCTTGAGTCTGATAATAATCTTTCTTGTCACCTGCCTCAGAAGTACATAATTGGGTTAGTGCGTTACCCTAGGCCTGAAGACATTGTGAACTTCCGTGTCTTCTGACATCTCAATAAAAGCAATTTGGTTAAACTTCAGCATTAAGGTATGCCAGCGACCCAGCATTAATATTAGTAGCGACGTATCCGTGCCTTAGGCTCACCCTCAACGCGGACCTAAGGCACGGATACTCCGTAGTACTACCTAGTATTATTACCTATCCGCCTCGGGGCCGCGCTGGTTAGATAGATATGCCAGGCTTAAGTGGAGCGGGAAGCTTGGCAGAGGTTTTTCTTCATTTTCATTTTTCATTTTTCCTTAATTTTTTTTTTAAAGAAAGAGCCATATCCTCTTTTCCCGACTATTCCTTTTCCCATCATATTTTTTCTCTTCTTCTTCGCTCTCTACAATATATTCTCCTTTTCTGTTCAAACAATAGCGCGTGCCGATACTCTCAGAGGCATTTCTGCAATGAACCAAACGGTAATACAAAGCCAATCTGAGGCGATAATCCAATCCCCAGCATCCAGATCGACTCGCAACGGGTATAACATGCCTATCGAGTCAGCGTTATCTACACCGTGGGTCTTTCTTAGCCCGACAACCTCGCTGCATGCGAATACAGTTGATTGTGCGAAGTACTTTCTGGATTCCCTTGCCCTGTCTGTCAGCAATGCACAGCTTGCTCGTCAGCGCATTATGCGGAAGCGCAAGCGATCGTACTATGAGCAAGAATCTCTGCATCATTTATTACAGTTGAAGGAACTATTTGTGCAAGGATTTACTTCCGATCAAATCTGGGAACAGGCCACAAGAATACTAGACTCTGCCAAGCAGGAAATTGAGCAAGATTCCGCTCTGATTGCTCCGCATGTCGAACCAGCTGTTTTAGACGCAAGAGCGTCACCCGTTCAGTCACAAGAGGCGAACTCTGAAGATGTCTCTAAATTTAGCCATATGTCGATTTCTTCAGAATCGGCCGCTGATCGTTCAGACCGTGGCTCTGCTTTTGATGATGATATGGAAGATATGGAATCCGAACCAGAGTCACTGAGCATGGTTGAGGGCCACTCAGACGAAGATAGCGGAACTGATGTGGAAGAGTCTGAGAACGATAACCACAATAGTGGTGATACCTATGTACAAGACCCGTTCGGACTGAACGACGGCTTTTTCTCCATTGACGAATTCAACAAGCTGTCTGACTTTCTCGAGAGGCAAGATGCAAAGGGCGGAATAGATGACCATTCGGGGAGCGATGAAGAGGAGATAGACTGGCACGTCAACCCCTTAGCTGGTGGTTCTTCTGTGCCTCCCCAAGCCACACGGCCAACAGCTCAGAGATCGAAGAGTTCTTTCGAGGACGGAAGTGAGAGCAGTAGTGACGAGGAAGGGCCGACTTTCGATAACATCGCCGTCGAAAATGACCTCGATTTGGAGGATGACGATGCGTATGCAATCAGTGCGGATACCACTAATTGGATGAACACCAGTGATATCAAGTACTCGGATTTTTTTGAGCCTCCCCCACGGAAGGCGACTTCGATGAAAACGCGCCCTCTTCCGAAAACACAACCTCACGGGGCTCCTGTCGAAACTGACATTGATCGCGCGATTGCTGATGTTAGGCGCGACTTGCTTGAGGACGATGGGTCGCTGGATGGAAACGATTCTTCCGATAATGAGCTAGCGGGTTCTAAACATCAGCATTCGGCTCATGAGAAACAACGCGCGCGGATTGCCGACGAGATTCGTCGCTTAGAGGCTGCTAATGTCGCGAAGAAAGATTGGATGCTTGCTGGTGAAGCTCGAGGTGCTGAAAGACCTATGAATTCCTTGATCGAAGAAGATTTGGATTTCGAGAGAGTTGGAAAGCCGGTACCAGTCGTCACGACGGAGCTTTCTGGTGACATTGAGGAGCTGGTTAAGCGTCGAATACTGGCGAAGGAGTTTGATGAAGTAATACGCCGTCGTCCTGGGATTTCGGAAGGGCAGACTGCAAAGAAAGGGAGATTTGAGCTGGAAGAGACCAAACCTCAACAGAGCCTGGCCGAGCTCTTTGAGACCGATCATCTCAGGGCTACTGATCCAAACTATGTGGACCCGAAGAATCATAAACTTCTACGAGAACATACTGAGATTTCAAACCTTTGGAAAGAGATAAGCGACCGCCTGGATACGCTGTCGAACTGGCATTACAGACCGAAAGCTCCTCAAGCAAATATCAACGTGATCACGGATGTTGTTACCATTATGATGGAGGATGCGCAGCCTGCAGCTAGCAGCGCTGTTGGCGGGTCAGCAGCCCTTGCTCCTCAGGAAATTTACGCTCCGGGTGATAACGGCAAGGTTGCTGGAGAAGTAACACTCAAGAATGGAGAATCTGTCGCCAAGGATGAAATGACGCGCGATGAGAAGTCCAAGCTAAGGAGGAGGCAGAAGAAGCAAAGAAAGACTGACTCCGACCCTGCAAAACAACAATCAGGAAGAGCCGCTGAAAATCAACAAATCGTCTCAACCTTGAAGAAGGGCGGTGTCAAGGTTATTGGTAGAGAGGGCCATCTCACTGATGTTTACGGTGCCAGAGACCGGGAGGGCACCGCCAAAACTGGTGCCGATACACTCAAGCTGTGAGATTACCATCACCTACCGTCCATATCCGATGACTGAGTGTCTGAAATTACATGAATTTTTCTTTCGAAAGGCAGAAGCCTGGTAGATTAGCGTATTTCGTTCGTCTAGCTACATATCGGTATATGATAATCTGATTTGCCTCTTTGGCGCTTGCTCATCCCTCTATTGCTCTAAGACTGCCGTTCTCCAGTCTAGATTTCAACCGGAGTGAATAGAGAAAGATATTCTCCCTTCTGTATGTATCCGCTTCAGGGTCGTCACGAACCTCCTTGACATCAAAGACCCTCTTAGCTGCTTTCATGAAACGGAGATCTGCTCGCCTACGCCTCTTGAAACAGAAGTAGCAGACTGATTCGAGCCCCAGCAGATCTTGCAAGGTTGAAATGAGAAGTGGGAACGCCGGCTCGAAATACACGCAGTCCGCAGCGAGTATGATCGCAGGATGGGTCGGTATACAGTCTGGGAGACGCTCTCCCCAATTTAACACTGTCGCCGCCACAGCAGTTGAGAGATTGTTCAGCTCAATGTTCGTTTTCATCAAGTGTAACATTGGTTCTTGGTCTGTGACGTAGATGGGGAAAGGACCAACATTGCACCCTCGTGCAACCGCGAGGCCCACAAGGCCCCCGCCAGCTCCTAGTTCGACTCTAGGTAACAACGCATTAGTATAATCTCAGAAGGAGAGGTTGTTGAGAACTTTCTAATAAGAAAAACGGCAGTGTACAGACATCGTCTTGTTGGAGAGATTATTGCGGTGTTGCCGCAGCAAGTACTTGGCCAGGACAATCCCTGCTGGCCATAACTGACCACCACAACCCTCTTTAAGGTCCTCTTTGAGGATCAGAGGCTCTTCTAGGAGACCATCAAACGAAATTAACGTATTTCCAGCCGATTTTAGCTCCCTAACAGGGACCAAGTATTCGCTGACATCAAAGGTTGCGACCAGATCGGATGATGAGGGGCTGGCAGAAATAATTCCTTCCATCGGGAGAAATTTTGCACCCACGAAACGTTTTCGTCTGAGGTTAACAAATGTCTATCGAAAGAATGTTAATGAAACTAATTGATGTGTGAGAAGCCTCAGTCAGCCACTGACGCCTGAGCATCAAAAAATATAATGAACCAATAGGGAAAGAGAATTGAAGAAGATTAAGGTATGTACTAGGAAGGTATGTTCAGAAAAGACCAAAGAAAACCTAAGGAGGGGGAAAAAGTCCATGTTTTTTGATAACTCTGATTGGGCATTTCTCCGAAATGAGGAGAAAATTAGGTAGAGACGGAGAAATTACCGATGTAGATCTGCCCTTCATCTAGGCTCTAGCGGCCTTCAAAGCTTCATAGTTATCTTTTTCTATCTTTAGATAGATGAGGCCATAGCCGTGGAGATAAGTGTTTCTCTTGTCCTCAATCTTCTTCGTGCCTTCTCCTTCTTGTCCTCGGGACCATAGAGAGTCCAGAGGACATGTAACTTTCTTGCAATTCTACTTTAGATAGGCCTCTGGTCGGAAAGCGGAAATACAAGCCGTAATTCTTGCTAATA